GGGGGGGAGGGGGTGGGAGAGGAAACTAGACCGACTGCTGACGTCTCTTCGAAAGGTCAGGAATTGGATTTTTTCCTGTCTCTCTGCCTCATGTTTTTTTCGTGAGTACCCCATCCGCTAGGGAAGCTAATTTACCCCCAACAACAACTAACTTTTTGCCACGATTGATTCCTAGTGTACTGCAACTTCGATGCCCAGTCTTTGTGTCAATTCACGCAGGGAACTGGTGACCAGTACGACTGGCTGTTTAACAGGGGAACTACGTCAAGCGCGCCGGAAACTGGACCGAGCGCTGACGTCTCTTCGACAGGTCAGGGATTGGAAGCTTCTCTTGTATAACCGCTATAACCCTGTTAAGAGTAAATTCACGTTAACACGACTTTAAGCTAAAGAAAAGGTTTTTTTACTACAATTACTACTAATCTCGCAATCCGATTGGCTAATTTGCCGTTGTCGATAAGACTCCAAACAACGCTGTTCGCGTCGATGTGTCACGATCTTGGTCACGCTATGAAAGAAACATTTTCTTTGACGTTGATATTGTGGTAAAAAAAAACCAATCGAATGTGGTTTAGCGTTGTCTGTACTCTTATCGACAACGATATGCGTCATCACAGTGGTCAAAATTTGATGTGGACAAAACATTTTGACCGCTGGGATGACGCATATCGTTGTCGATAAGAGTACAGACAACGCTAAACCACATTCGATTTGTTATATTAACAGCTTCGAGTCAAAATTTTGATTAGTTCATGTTAATCAACAACTCACTACAATTTGGACTATATATTTCAGAGTATGCTATACCAGGAAATGGCAGGTATAAACTAAACAGTAGATCGCAGCAGTTCATCTTAAGTTTTACTTTTTACATGTATATGACACCTTATTAAGGAGTTCAAGAAAATCAAAGTTTGCAGCTTCTACTAAATTGTCTCACTTTTTCATGTAGAGCCTTATCGTACTAGCTGTCCATGTAGGCGAGATTCCGATTAACGTGCGAGACTGAAAAGGCTATATGTATTTGGAGTTTCAGATAATTAGGTGAATGCTGTTGAAGTTTCAGGTTTAGCCATTCCTTCGTGTGTAAATAGGCGGGGTTTTTCCACACTAAAGAAGTGCTAAGTCCAAACGGTCTGTGTTTACCTGATTATATGACTTTTCAAGGAGCTGTTTCAACCTTGCACTCTTCTTTCGCTCTATCGCGCGTCATGTGAGCCTAATCTCTCAAATGTTCTACCCGGGAGATTCCGAGAAGTCAGAGAAAACGCTCGTCTCCTATTAGGAGTCAATTTCATTTCCTGCTCGAGACGTCTAATGACGTAGCTCTTAAGAGCTCTGCGTATTGTCTCTGATTGGTGCAGAAGAGAGCAGAAATTCACGTGCAATTAACAACCAATCCAAGGCGTTGCAGAAACTCTGTGGGGCTTTACTTCGTTAACAGAGTGGAATTTGTCAGTTCAAACGACAGTCATCTTACCAGCGGTGAATGAAAATCAGCGCGCGACAACACACACGCCATTAAAATACATTATAGATCATCGCAGTTATGTACCCGTTTATAGATTCCAAATAAGAACAGTTCACGTTTTCTAGTAATTCTGTGCTTTTTTCCACTTTTTCTAGGTTACTACATCTACGCCGAGGCGTCATTTCCACGCCAGAGTGGTGACCGCGCGCACCTGTTCTCGCCCAGACTGGCTGGTGACTATTGCCTGCAATTCTACTTTAACATGCACGGCGGTCAGATGGGCACATTACGTGTATTTGTTGTGGTGGGCTCACAAGCGACTGTGGTAGGATCGTACAGCGATAACCGTGGAGATGTATGGAATTCAGCTAAAATTACCATTCGAGGCGTCCAACCTTACCAGGTAAACTGTTCAATTTACGACGTTTTTAATGGGAAGGATCGAAATCAAAAGTTAAATTTCATATCTTCGGCAAGCTCGTTGACAGTGGCGTTTTTATTTGGATTTGGGCCTTGCTGTTCGAGAGCGAAAGATGTTCGATCTAGTCCCTGACTGTTGTCCTTTATTTTGACAGAAAGAGACGGAAACATGTAATTATTNGCAGGGCAATTTAGCGTTGATTTTGAATGTGGCAAAAATTAACGTGCGTCCGTTCGTAATTTTCCCAGTCAAAGATTGCGTAATTAAGGATTTATACCATAGCACTTACACTTTGAAGAGAACTTCCGAATATGACTCGTAGTGTAAATCCTTAATTATACTCGTTTATTCATGCCATTAAATTACCATTAATTTTTTTCAACCACAGCCCCAAACGTAAAATTACAGTGTATAACCTGCGCCTTCCATTTAGATTTTAGAAATCTCAAGCAGACAGTAATATGTATACAGTTTTAAGAAAAGTTCTAGCCTCGAATTGGCCAAAGAGAAAATGAGTGTTAAGTATGTCGCAAGTTTGGTAGATAGATTTGCGATCGAACGAAAACAAAACAGAATTTGTTCGAACTATTTCCACCCTTGCTAAGGTGACCGATGCTGACAACCATTTGACTCTTCTCTTCACGTCTTTACCTCCAGGCTATTACATATATGCTGAGGCTTCCAACCCCCGGCGGCCTGGTGATCGAGCCCGCCTACTCTCGCCGCTCATGACTGGAGACACCTGCGTGGCATTTCGATTCAACATGCACGGATCACAGATGGGAACTCTTCGGGTCTACGGCAAGTTGGGATCTAGTGAACAAGTTGTGTGGGAACATAACACTAACACAGGAGACACGTGGGATGGAATGCAGATCAACATTCGGACAACAGCGCAATTTCAGGCAATCCTGAGTTTTTTTTCATTAGTATAAATCTACTTGCGTTCTATCACGAATGCCGTTTCCTTATTGGCTACGCTATTCGCTATCTATTCTGTGTTATTAAAAACTGGATCACTGGATAATGCAATTCAAGTATTCTCATTGGCTCAGCCATCATGGGTTATTAGCCATTAGTATCACCCAACTGGTGGACTAATGCAAATCCTGCATTTTAATTGGCTACGCTACCGGGGAACTATTAGTAATAGTCCTCGAGGAACGAAATTGGCGCAATCGAGCGTGACACTTTCTCTCGTTTTGTTCCCAAATAAATATTTCCTCAACTTGCATTTGCTAACTTTAATATTGCCT